TAGTCACAGTGTATACAGTCAATCCTTGAACAACATGGGGATAAAAAGTGCCAATCCACTGCATAGTCAAAAATCCACATGTAACTTTGGACTCCCCCAAAATGTCAGTCATCCTTCAGAATCTGTGGGGGATTCGTTCCAGGACCCCTGCAAATACCAAAATCCGCAGATGCTCAAATTACTTATATAAAATGGTGTAGAACAATGCATACAGCCAGCCCTCCTCATCTACATATTCCCAACCATGGATCAAAAATTCTGTTTCTGATCTGGGGTTGGTTGAATCCATGGATGCAAAACCCAGGGACAGGGATGGCCGACTATATATTTATTGGGAAAAAAATATATATGTAACTGGATGTGTGCAGTTCAAACCTGTGTTGTTCAAGGATCAACTGTATTGGTACTTAAGGCTGAGGGTCTGATTGAGATTATCTAGGAAGAAGCGTGTAGAAGGAGAAGAAAAACAAAAAGTTTTGAAGACTTTTAAAGGATTCTGAGTGATTGATCCTTAGGTAGAACCATGATGAACATTGAACAGAGAAACCAACCTGTCTCAAGAGGCCTCTTTCCACTCACCAGTATACACTGGAGACAAATATGACCCCTATACACCACAGAGGAGAAACACACACATTTATGCTTGCTTGGGGATAAGTGGTACTAATCCACAAAGGTCAGAACAGGCACTTGTGTCATATGCCTGAGACTTGGATGTCAGGGAGAATTTCTTGTTTGCTCATAGCATTACAAAGCACTATATATCAAGATGGGTTAAAAACCCTGTCTTTTCTATGGTAGGCAGAACTCTAACATGGCCCCCATGACCTTTGGGCTTGGCGTTACTCCTGTATTTTTCAGATGTAATTAAGGTTATGAATCTGTTGACCTTACACTAGGGTGATTCCTAATTGGGCCTAACTTAATCACACAAACCCTTCAAAAGCAGAGAGTTTTCTCCTGGTGGCAGAAGAGGAAGTCAGAGAGATTCTAAGTGTGAGATGGAGTTGAGAAGATATTGATAAAAGTGAACTGGCATCTTAAGATGATTAACCATAGAACTAGGAGAACTATGGATAGAGCTGGGCCTCTTGTTAACTCTCTAGTCCTGATTTCCTGTTAAACTTTGTGGTAACTTCTCGGGGAGGGATGCTACTAAACAGAGAAGCCATCTTGGAATCGGGGCTCTTTGCATGCGCGGGGCCAGTGGGAGCCTGGCTGGGAAGTGTGTGTTCACACACTTCTTGGTGGCTTTGTTTCTTTTCCCAAATAAACTGCTCTTTTGGTAGACTACCTGGAGAATTATTTGTCCAGTCGACAGTATTACTTTGCTTGAAGATGGAGGGGTCCACACGGCAAGGAATATCATCCACTAAGGAAATAGGGACCTGAATCCAATAACCACAAAGGACTGAATTCTGCCAACAATCTGAATGAGCTTGGAAGTGTGCTCCAGAGCCTTCAGATAACAGGACAGCCTGGCTGATACCTGGATTTCGGTGTTGAGAGTCTTTAAGCAGAGAATCCAGTTGAGCCTGCCTCGCCTTCTGACCTACAGAACTGAGAGATAATGAATGCGAAGTGCTGGAAGCTGCTAAATTTGTTACGGTGTTAGAAAATTAATCTGCCTACACTATGCCAGGCACTGTGATAGGCTGCTACAAAGTGTGAAGTAATAACTATGCCTGAACGCTGCCTTCAGAATGCAGGCCTAGGGTGGTTCAGTCATTCATTCATTTATGGAAAAGAAGAGGTGGAACTAGACCCTGTCTTAAGAACTTATCCAGCTCTTCTCTTTGTGTGTGGAAATAAGCAGCCACAGCCCCCACCCCTTTTTTGCTTTCCCTGTACTGGAGCAACCCACATTTGGAAGCTGCAGGATAACTGACATATAGCACTTACCAGCTTGTTGTCTGTATCAATATAGAATCATTGACTTAAGCTGGAATGTTGTATGAAGAACAATACTAACATTTGCTCAAAACCATCATTTAAAAAAAAAGTACCCCAAATCTACAATAAGCACAAAACAACCACACTAGTATCCGCATAGGAAATGTCGGCGTTCTCTTCTGAACATACAAACAAGCTGAGCAGATAAACCCGCCTGGGTCTTACCTGACATTTAAACGGGGCTGGCTCACCTGGAATCTGGTCATGTTCTCGTGGGCACTATTTTAGGTCAGTGAATCTGTGCAGTTTAAAATTATTTTTTTAAAAACCACTGCAGACCTATTGAGTTTCTAATCAGTGACATAATTTTGATAAGAAATACTTGCACGTACTAATTGGAAAAACTTTTATTGAGTGATTCCATCAGAACAAGCAAACTTGGCAAAGTGTGTTCGTGGTAACAATTCTAGCCTCCCGCTGCCTGGGAGCCTGGGAGGTGAGCTGTCTGGCTCACAATGGTAGAAGGAATCTAGGGAAGAGGTAATGGAGGCCAAACCAGAGGAGTGGCTGTGGAGATAGAAGTGGACAGATAAAAGAGGCGTTTGAAGGGGCCTCGGTTGGATCTAGTGACTTTAGAAACAAGGGGGAGCAGTCAAGTTACTCTTGTACCTTATAGCCATATATGTTAAGTCTGAGTGGGTTTCTACTTAACTCTTGGAACCAGGCCTTTTTTTTTCATACTAACCCGTCGCCTGATCCTAAGCTGAGGATTTTCATCCTGTCTCTGACCTAAATGTACAGAGGAAAGTCATCAAAGCCTCCTGACGCAGTCCCACATCTAATCCCCCGCTTCAATCCAGGAGCCAGGAGAACAGCTCCAGTTTGCATTTCAAATAATTCTGTCTGTAGTAGTATATGATTGCTCTTCATTCTTGTTATGTTCTGGGAGTTTAAAAGTTACTTATCATTTGAAATGATGTATCTTGATGCCTCCTGATAGATAGATGAAAGTTTTCTGCAAATTTTTTCCTGCTCCTTTCAGACTTTGTGCTCTCTCAATACTCCATGTAACAGCAACCCCATTTTAATGTAAGGACTGCCATGAAATAGTAAAACTATCAGTCATTGTCAAATACTTTATAAATGGAGACAGAGGAGGGGTTCAGTTCTCTGTGCAACAAGGACAGAGGAGAAAGGTCAGTGATATATCATGTGGTATAGGATTTCCCCTCAAGCAATCTTCTGCTGAGACTTGCTCGCAGTGTAGAAGCTTTTGTCTGGTCAGGGACTCTTAAGATAGCTCCTCAACTTAAGGCTACAAATATTCAAGTCTATGCTCTGTATAATATTGGAGAAAGGAAAGAATGCATTTCAAGTGAATTTGGGGAAAGATTTTTTTTTTTTTGCCATTTACGAAGGCCAGGAACTAATATTAACAGTTGTTTAACTTATGAAAAATTAATTAGATGACATAAATTATGCATGTGGGAAAAAAAATCTATCAATGGGTGGTTTGAGGAGTCAGAAGAGCACTGAAGTTGAAAACAAAAGGTATTTTGTTCAGCAGGTCACATTGGGGGAGGGTTTTTGTTTGTCCTTTGTGCTTGAAAATGGTGAATACAGAATTGTTCTTAGGTAATTCCCTCGAAGTGAGGGAACTAGTCATTTCAGTAGAGTTTATCACTATGTGCTTGTCTGCTGTTTGAAAGGATAGAAGGCAATTGACAAAAATTTAATAGGAAAGTCAGAGAACTGAAATGTCTCTAGAAGAACTAGCATGTCTGAATACTGAACTCACTGCCTAGCAACACGACACAATCTTATAATAAGCCCTTGTCCCAGATCTCTTGAGCAAAGAATAAACACAGTGACCCTGGAAATCGAAAGCGTACATGTAATGTAAAAAGTAAACAGATCTGATGCCAAAAGGACTTTAGGTTTATATTTAAAAATCTCTTGTAGAGTAATGAGACATATTTACATAGATAGTATCAGCCTGTCTTTAAAAGGAATATTTAATATTGTTGCTCTTTTTTCTGGTTAATTTTCTTTTCCATACCAAGAAGTATAGGCAGTTACAACACCCATGAATAGTTGCAAATTAGAGCAAATGTGTTAGAAATGTTCAATCTCATTTCGAAAGTTACATTATATATATGACTATCAATTAATATATCTTTTTAAAAGTTTCATAAATCTATGGGACAGTGTTGGGGTATGCTTGCATAAATAAAAGTAGTTTAAATTCAAAATAATTTGTTCTAGTTTAAATTATATAATGAAATAAAAAATGACAAACTATAACTCAGGAAATAGTAGCTACTCTGAGTTAGTGATATATTTATCTTTGGCTCCAATCTTGGTAGGTATGATTGGAATCTTTAGTATAAATTAAGTCCTATTCTTTTATTAGTATACTATACAGGATTAAGCATTGAATGAAAAAAATCAAATTCCTGGTACTATCCAGTATTTTCTATAGCTATTTCCTTTTTACCCTTTTCCTTAATCTTTCTTGAGAAAAGGTGTACAGCTTTCTTTATTTAAGAAAAATAGCTTAATTAACACTAAGCAATAGTCTGTAATAAAATTGAAAGAAATCAATGATTTGGCCTGGAATTAGAGAAACTTCCAAAGGGAAGGTACAAATATACCCAAAGGGGAATCTAAAGGAAGAGAATACTCTCCTCTACATATTTTAGCAATCAAGTAGGCATTTATAATCCCAGCCAAGGGTGGCATCTTTCATTCTGGGGAGGATTATCCAAGGGCTTCACTGTAATATGGAATATACTGTGCTATGCAACTGATTTTCATGGTAACATTACCTTTGAGATTTTATCTTATACTCATGGTTCTACAGAGGAAAATATATGGATAAAAATATTCATTGCAACTTTGTTATCAATTCTAAAGTCCTCTTTTAATCACAGATGCCCAAATATTAACTTAAAACCGGGTGGCTGAAATGTGTCTCATAATATTCTAGTCATTTGCAGTGTCAGATCTACAGAGACCAGTGCATCTGGAGACAAATGACCAGACGGCCATAAAACAGAAGCTTAATTATGTTCACTTACATTTTCAAATTATTCCCGACAAATTACCTTGGGTAGGTGACACATCCATCAAGGCGAAACTCTAATTTCATATTCACAGTACTGCGCTCCTGTAAACTGCTCTAATAAGGCTTTAACTAAGTTTTCCTTGTGACCTCACTGAGCTGAAATATTGCAGGCTGTAGGTTTTGCAGTGCCTCCAATTAATTTCTGACCTTGGTGCTGCCTGGGCACAATGAGGCAAGTGAAGGGTGGAGATCAGATTTAATTTTGAATTTCCTGACTGCTGCTGGTTTGTATCTCAACTTGAACATTATTTAAACAGGTTATTTTTGGTCAATGACTTTTTATGCAGCACACTGGGCAAATGCAATTAAGTGGGCGAAGTTTTGTTCTCAGCTGTCCTCTGAGTGCTTGTATGGGAACTAGGAATCTCAACAGGAAACACCTGTACAGTGGTTGTACACCAAGCCTTCCCAAAGAGCTAATATATAACATTGTTCTGGCACCTCACAAGCTCTTCCCCAAATAGAAATGTCCAGCTGTATTTGAAGGCTGTATTTTTAATTACTGAAACTCCAACCTCTTGGCTTAGAAGTAAACCTTGTTATGAGGATCTATTAGACTTAGCTATATCAAGAGTAAGTCACATCATTCATTTATTTCATCATTCAATTTAAAAAAAAAGGTTTTACTCAACCAACTTTTATTGAATGCCTATTCTGTGCAAGAATTGTGGCGGTATACACAGAGAAATCAGATGTAGACCCTATCCTGAAGAGAGATTAACAGGAAAACATCATTGTTTCTAATGGAATCTAATTCTTTCTTAGAGACAACTGTCAGCTATTTGGGTAGGCTGTTAGCTTTGTGAAAAATAAGTAAAAACCATGCTGTTAAAACCTCATATGACCTTATGTTTTTGGCAATGTATAGATTAGAAATAATAATAATAAT